CCAGCCACCAAAATAATGATCCCTGGGATATGCTGATACAAAAAGGGGCCACTGAGCTGCCCTGAGGATATGCTTGGCCTCCTGTCTGGCAGGCATGGGTTGGCTGGGAGAGAGAAGCCCTGCTGTTTTCAGAGCAATTACATGCTCCTGGCATTTAAGAGTGGGGTTTGCATTTTTCCTTTTCTCTGCTACTCAGTGGTATTCTCCGTTTTTAGCACTTAACATGGCTGAGTAAATGTTTTTCAGCTCTTGAGCTGAGCTCAATTCAGTCTTCCCCATCTCCTCCCTCCCATTTCCACCTCCTGTTTCCTGCTTTTCTGCTGGTAGGAGTGTTTATCCCAACAAAACAAAGTCTTACATTTACATAATGGCCTGTGTTTCTGTGCCAAAAGCTCATCGAATATGTCTGGGAGTGGAGGCTGGTACTGTCCCCACTTCCATACAGGAAACAGGGATTAGGTGGCTTTGTTAAGATCACTGCTGGAAGAACACTTCAAAACTTGGAGTCTCATCCCCACCTTCCTGTGTGACCCCTCATAGATGTTGGAGTCTGAGTATCAGAGCAGAGAAAGACCACCATGCCAGTGACCTTTCTGGCCAAACTAGTAACAAAACACAGTGGCTGCTCATAGTGACACTGATGAGATACGGCCCCTGTGCAGGGTATGGGTTTTATTGGTTCACAGTAGCTCCTTTATCAGATGTGTCTATTTACTGATTCTGCACCAAATGTTTGGCTCAGATGAGACTCATCCTTTACTTCACCCCCTTCCCTATGACTGAAGAATAAGAAGATATGGAAGCTGGGTTTGATGGAGTTGCTTAGCAGCCGCAGAAGGCAAAAGGCAGCTCTCTACAGGGATTTTCAGGACCTTGGACATGTCCCAAGGAGTAAAAATGCTGGCTTCCAGTGGAACCCTGAAGTGTCCCCTTCAGCAGTTACACAGCTGGTGTTTGTTATTGACTAAAAATTTTAAATGCTCATGTCTCTTTTCCTGTTTGGTGTTCTAGAAAGTGTGAAGAAAATTGCAATTACCTTCATGGATTTGGTTGGAGGGTGGTGTGAAGAGCCACAGAAGTGGGAGTCTACTCTGACTCCTTAAATCCTCTCTTTTTCTTTTCTGTAATAATATGACCTTCTAATATCATGCATATATCATTTATTTTGATTTTTATACCTGTTTACCCCACTAGAATGTGTTCACTGTGAAGATAGGATTTTTTGCCTGTTCAAATTTGCTGTTATTTGTATAACACCTAAAACTGTGCCTGGCAACTATTAGGTGTTCAATAAATAACTGCTGATTGAATTTAGTTAATCTTCAATCTAGAAGTAGCTACTGTAACCAAAACCAGAGTATCTGAATTTGTTCCAGATGTTGAGGGGGCTGCCTGGTGGGATCAAGAAGTTGAGATAAAAGAATTTGAGGTTTTCAAAATGTGAATACCAAGAATTGCTGTAGCGATTCAGACTCTGGACCTTCTGGATTAGTATTTTAATTCTATCACAGGAATCAAGGAACTGATGTGATGGCAGAGTCTAGCTGTTACTTTTGACATCTGCTTGATGCTTCAGATTCATTGTTTGTTACTTCATTAACTTAGACAGATGGAAGGTCAATTATTTTTTTTCTGTTTAGGGTCAATCTTACTGATAATTGCTCTGGGGATAACATGTTGAACAGACATATAGGTCATACCATCATAAATTTTGTCATCCATAACTAGAATAGTATTTTGGGGGTAATTATCCTTTTGAGCTTTTCCAGCTTTGTAAAGAAGCATTCTTTGACTTTACTACTTTTTAAATGATATGATTTTGCATCCAGATCCTTAAGTGAGTTTTTCCAAGCCTAGGTGAAGAGGTTGAAGTTCTTGAAGTTCAGTATGGAACCCTGGACTTACTGGTTCACTGTGCTGGAACCAAGTGCTCCATTTAATACAGAAAACTCTTTCGTTGGTTGTCCACAATACATGAGGCTAAATGGATACGAATGACACAGTAGTGGGTATATGAAGGTAGAAGAGAACAGAACATTTTGGTCTTGAAAAGTGTCTCCTTCTGTTTTTGTTCTGCTGCCAGCTACCACTCCTTGTCTGATAATGGTCTACTGATGAACATATCATTAGTACGATGTATAAATCTCTTCCTAGATCACATTCCAGAAAATGGAGGGGGATATTAGAGCATAGTGGGTTTTTAGGTGTAACTTAGCAACAGCATATGTGAAAAGAATTAAGAGAATAGATTAAGAGTGTTATAAACTCCAAGTGAGTCAACATTGAAGCTGCTGTTGCGAGGAAGCAATAATTATGCCCAGCAGCCCCTGGAGCGCCATGGTTGAGGAAGCACAGAGCAGATGAGAAAGTACTCAGGGCAAGGACGTTCTGAACTCTGACATGAGGAGGAGAAAAGAGAACTGGGAATGTAGGACCATGAGTGCTGTCTTCAAAGGAGGTGGGCTCTCCATGTGGGAGAAGCATTAGATGTTTTTGGTTCTTCAAGTTTGAAGTGAGGTTGACTGGATGTAAGGATTTCCTGGGCTCAGAAATGTACCAGAGAGGTGCCCCTAGGCCCCACTGCCTGGTCCTTTAGGAAAAGTACTATTCCTGACTTACATGTAATCAACTCAAATACCTACTGAAGCCAATGCTAAGTCATGGCAAGTAGGTATGCTACCCAGGAGGTAGAGAAAGGACAACATCTTCTGTGATCTTCTTCTTTTCTAGTCAGCTGACTTTATTTTTTTTTTCTGCTTCTTTTGAAACACTTTACAATACCTATTGACTTGACAATTCAACTTTTGGAGACTGTACTTTATAAATAAAAATTAGAGTAGTTCATGATGTATGCACAAGCGCATGTGGGTGTATATAATATATATAATATATAATATACCTATTATAGAATTGTTTGAATTGCAAACATGTGGAAACAACCTGAATGACAAAGAATTATTACAGTGGGTTGGATCTATACCTGCTATCTAGGAAGACTAGGCAGGATATAGAGTTAAGTGAGATAAATAAGAAAAACATATAGTATGATTTCATTTTGAGAAAATAAATTTTAAAAAATTCCTCTATGTAAAATTGGGCTTAGTATATGTTTTTGTGAGGATGGCAAAAGGAGTGTAAGAATGTAGATGAAGTTAACAATGGTTGGAGAGCTTGGGGGTGGATGAGGTCTGGTAGGAATCTGAGAGACAGAAGATGCAGGAATAGAGATGAAGGAAATCAAAGGGGAGGGGAATGGCTGCATGTTCATACATATGTGTGTTTGTGTCTATCTTTATTGCTTGTGTTTAAGTATATTAATTTAGAGGACAGGAAAAAAGACAAAGGAAAGAAAGGAAGAAATAAAGAAAGAGGGACAATTCCTTTCCTCTCACATGTTAATCCCATCTTTGGTTTTACTCCTCTTTTATAAAAATGCTCTCAAACTTTCTGTTAAAGACAATCTGGAGGTTTTATAATGAAAAATCATCTTTCAAGTTTTAATAATTTAGAGATGGTGTTTTAAACAAAAGGAAATCTAAAGAATTTTCAAAGGTAAAATATTTTAAGTTAAGACTGAATATCTTGATATCATGAACAATGAATGACGGAGACTTAGTTGTATGTTTCTAAGTTGTTTTTTGCTATGTAGAATGTGTCCGTTTTCTCCTAGTACTTCAGAAATATGTATACTTTCCTAAAACTAGAGAACACAGGATCAAGCTAAGAGCACTGACCCAAAGCTCCTAATTTACTATAGAGAAGAGTACTAAGGTGTGTGTGTGAAAGAGAGGGAGAGGGAGAGGGAGAGATCAGTTTTTCTTTGCTAAGATAGACATAAAAATACCACTGTTTTCTTGGGATTTGGATGCTTTCTATTAGATTATTTTAATAATTATTTTCCACATTAAATTATATCCATTATACCTTCATATTTGAAGCAGACGTTTCTTTCTACATAAAGAATAGCTATACATTGTAGAATTGGCTGGTTATTTAGCCCTTGCTTATCTTGAAATTGGAATTTGGGGAGAATAGGATGCTGTTTCATATTCCATCTGATGTGGACCCAGAGCTGATACCAGGCAGCTATACTGATTTATAAAGAGGCAAGTGAGCAAGTATGTCAGATCTATAGGAACAGTGATAGGGGCATAGTTCCTTGATTTTAAGGTGTTCAATTAATATACTAACTCAAATCTTAATGTATCTTACTTCACATATATGCATTTATTAGGGTAATTATGCAAATAAGCAATGGGCTTATAAATGAAGATGTTAACTAATAAGAACAAAAAAATTTGACATGTTAGAAATCCTGAGGAATCTCATTAGCTGATTTTTGATGCAATTAGAACATTCCAGAATCATGAACCTCAACTAGAATTGCTGCCTATATAGTACTATCTTGATTCAGACAAGCTAGAAAATTATAACAGTGTTTATTTTCATACAGTCAATGGCCTTATATGTAAACAATACTTAAAAAAACTATAAAGTAGGCTCTGCATGGCTATTTACATTTTTTAAAGTCTCAGTTTTAATTCAAAGGCACCATCATTTTGGGAAAACTAGTCATGTATAGTGACATTTTTCCACTTCACAGGCTGAAATATCTTTCATGATCCCCCAAACCTGAATGGTGCTAATGGGCAATTTATCTGTCACAAGTGGGTGGGAAGAATCAGAAGAGAAAATGTCTGTGGAGCTGTGACCTGAAGAGAATAAAGGAATGAAGGTCAGCTGTGATGTGGAAAGATGTCCTCACTGACTAGGTTGCTTGTATTCTGCATTTGCTCTCGGCGTCCTGTCAAGCATTTTCTTTGAGTTTTGTTGTCACTGTTGCTTTGTTTTCTTGGGCATTCTATCTGCTTCTCCTGGAGAGGCACCCTTTCCCCTGCCCCTCCTGGCTAGTCCGTGAGGCTTCATGGCTGACGTTCCTGTGTATTGGAGTCCGTGGTCTTCTGCTGCTTATCTCATGCCTTTTCTTTATGATGTTTCAGCTCATCCACCATACACCATGTGCTTTAGAGTGAAATTCTACCCACATGAACCCTTGAAGATTAAAGAAGAGCTCACAAGGTATTTTCCGTTTGTTTGTATGTTTAACTTACACCTTTAACCAGCCGTGGCCTCTGCCATCTTACAGGCTTGGAGGCGCCTCTGGTCTAGATCATAACCTCTCAACCAAGCAGGCGCTAAACTCAGCCATTTGGCCAGAAATGCTTCTCGTACATTTAATTGTCTTGGGATTTTTTTCCCCCCAAACAATTGTCACTGGGAGTGTAATTAGCTGCACAAAAAAGCAGTGGTTTTGAGGGGGAGGTACTCTGAAAACATCTGACAGTGGGATGCTAAAAATAAGTAGAAGAGGACTGTCTTTAGGATGTGGGCAAATTCATAGCTAGTGCAGCCTACTTTGGGGATCTTAGCTGTTCTGGGAGGAGAAAGATCACAGTCCAACAGAGTGGACAGTTGGTCATTCAGCTTGCTAAATGATGACCCCACTGGGGCAGGTTTCCCTTCCCTTATAGACTTTTCTAAGTTTGAAGTTTCCAGTTCTCAGATCTCCTCCCTTCACATCTCCCTCTGCTGGGGTTACATTCAGTTCACCTTCTGGAGGTTTTGCTTTTTGGCAAATGTTGCTAAGCAGGCCTCTCCCCAGGGAGGCCAACTTCATGGTGGATGGAAGAGAGAGAGAGAAATTGTGCACTTCATTCTTGATGGGGCTCTGATTTGGTGACCCCCCAAATCACTGTGTATAATCATCTCTCAAAATAATCGGCTTATGTGCAGATGCAATAGAAAAGCAAATGCAAATTGCTCTGATCATTGGCAGGGGGAAAGATAGGGTTTTTAGGTATTTTGCTTTCTTGTTACCCAGAGTCTCTGTTAAAGCTTGACCCCAGTGGCACTGAGGTGACTTTGGAAGAGAGCAGATGGTTCTGTTCTCTATGATTAATTTGCTAACAGCCATTTAGAGAGGTTTGTGCTGGGGGTAGAGGAGTAGGGAGAGAGGCTATGTATGTGTGTGGAAAGGAGGAATTAATAGGTCATTATTTTACAATCTGTCTCTTTTTTCTTTTTATTTAGGTAGGTAAAATTCATATAACAAATTAATTCCATGATCAAATAGCGTACAGCTCAGTGGCCTTGAGTACACTCACAACAACCATCAACACTATCCAGTTCTAGAACATTTTTTATCATCCCCCCAAAAGAAACCATATACCCCAAACCAGTCACTTCTTATAGTCCCCTTTCCCAGCCCCATGTCTATTTTCTGTCTTAATGAGTTTGTCTATTCTGAATGTTTTATATCAGTGAATTCATAGAATATGTGTCTTTAACCTGATTTTGGTTTGAAAATTTATTTGATAATTTCTTCCTCAGTTCTGGCTATCTAGCCAGGGCGAGAAGCTGGGTGAGTTATCAAAAACAAACAAACAAAACCAACAATAATAACAGACAAAAGAAGATATTTGTTCTGCACTGAGGGTGTTAATGTTGTAGTTAGGAAGATGAGATTTAAAAAAAAAAAACTGCTTTACTTTTGTCATTTGTTTTCTCCACAATCTTGTCTGGAGGATAAAAATCGAATGTGTCACAGTATAAATTAAGGATGGATCTTTTGTTGTTGATGAGAAAGGTACTATTTGAGAGCAAAAGAATACAAAGTTTTCGTTAATAACCCTACTTAAGCCCCTGTCAGTTGAATTTGCTAATATTTTCCTGACTTTGACTAAATAACTCAGGCACAAGCAGGGAATATTGTGAATATTTCAACATTTCCAAAGGAAGTTAAGAAGTCCTCTGCCTCTGCATAGATAGATTTTTTTCCTATATGTCAAATGTGTCACACTATTATGTATAATTAAAATGTACCAATTAAGACTTAATTGAAAAGGAAAAAAATTAAATGTGGCCTACTTTTAAATAAATCTGACAAAATAGAAAAAAATACATTTTTTCTTAGCATGGTCCTTAGCATTCCAGACTAATTTACAAATTGTGCCCAAGTACTTATAGTTTAAACCCTTGTCTTGAAAGCATTTAGCTTTTTCTAGTATGGTAAGTTATTATTTTGTTGTAAGATTTGACCTAAAATTTGAAGAGGATTTAATATATGAGCAGTTGAAGTCCCATTCATGACCATGCTTATGAATAAAGAAATGTTAAGGAACAGGTTTAAAAGGGCAAAGCAACAAAAATACCCATGAAAAAGCACATTTGAAATCAGTTTTCATCCTCTCCTCATCTCTCCACCATTTGAGCAGTCATCTTACAATCATTTAGATTTCTGAGCTTTTATAAATGCCATATGCAATCAAATGTAGCCAAAAGTATGTTGGTTTAAAACATATTTTTAGTGAGAACCATCTTTAAATTCATGGAAGCAATATCATTTATGGCAGCACAATAATTCATGCCCCCAATCCTCTTGTGTTTTGGTTGCTTAATCCTTTCATGCAGGAATGATACTAAGGAAGATGGATTATTTTTTGATGGTGGTTGTATTAAAAAATGAGCATTCTGAACCTGAAGCCATCAAAAGCCCCCATGGATTATGTTGAGTCTGCAATAAATCCTTGATTATCTCCAGAGATCACTGATATAAGCAAAGACCCAAGATGTGATGCTGTGAAAGCTGATTTTCTTTTCTTAGGAAGCTTTCATCAAACCTGATTTCTGAGTTATAGGATTAGAACCCAAACCTCTCATTCATTAGTAAATAGTTGTTTAAATTTTTTCCACTACTGAACTCATCAAAAAGTAGAAACTAATGCGTTTGTATTCAAAACACACATTCAACAATTAGAAAAGAAACCTCATGACATTTGGCCTGGAAGTTTACAGTCTTTAGAGAAGGAAAGATTTGATCATTTCAAGTACTTAGATCCTGACTTTGGTATTCTGGACAAATCAGGGCCATGGTCTTAGAAGTGAGGTCCCTGGACTAACTCAATGCTGAGCACAGTGCATAACATAAAGCAGGGTGAGATAAAGATCCATCCATTAATATTATCTGGGAACTTATTATAAATACAGATTATTGGTCCCTGCCCCTGACATACTGAATCTGAAACTCTAGGAGGGGACAGCAATCTATATTTTCATATGGCCTCCAGGTAATTCTGATCATGTTAAAATTTAAGAACCATTACTCTAAGATAATTTGTATTTTCAAAAGCACTGGTTTCTTTTGGCAGACATTAAACTGTATAATACAGTGGGGTTTAGTATGGTCACAAGGTTGTGCTACCACCATCATGATGTAATTCCAGAATATTTTTATCTCCCTAGTAGGAAGCTTGGTATCCCTCCTCTCAGTCCTTGGAAACCACTAATCTTGTTTTCTATCTGTATAGATCTGTCTATGTTGGACATTTTGTATAAATGGAATTATACATTATGTGACCCTTTATGTCTGGATTCTTTCACTTGACATAACATTTTCAAGATTTATCCTTGTTGTAGCGTCTAACAGTACTTTATTCATTTTTATGGTTGAATAATATGCCGTTGTATAAATAGACCACATTTATTTTATCTACTCATCAGTTGGTGGATATTTAAGTTGTTTTCACTTTTTAGCTATAATGAATAATGCTCCCATGAATATTCACATATGAGTTTTGGTGAGGGCCAGATTCTGATTTAATTGGGTCTGAGGTAGAATTCAAGGACTCACGGTATTGGCGTTTTTCAGAACTCTCCCTGATGATTCTAATGTGTAGTCATGGTTAAGAGGTTGCAAACTGGTGCATCCTGGCTGGGTTTTGTTTGGCACTATAGTGCTTTTTTTTAAAAAAAATTTATCTTATAGTCTAATTTTTATTTTTTCTTATATATATTTTTTTAATTTATATATGACAGCAGAATGTATTCTTATCACATACATAGCACACAATTTTTCATATCTCTGGTTGTATACAAAGTATATTCACTGCAATTCGTGTCTTCATACGTGTACTTTGAATAGTAATGATCATCACATTCAACCATCATTAATTACCCCATGCCCCTTCCCTCCCCTCCCACCCTTTTGCCCTATCTAGAGTTTGTCTATTCCTCCCAGGCTCCCGCTCCCCATCCCATTATGAATCAGCCTCCTTATATCAAAGAAAACATTCTGCATTTGTTTTTTGGGGATTGGCTAACTTCACTTAACATTATCTTCTCTAACTCCATACATTTACCTGCAAACCATGATTTTATTCTCTTTTATTGCTGAGTAATATTCCATTGTGCATATATACCACATTTTTTTTTATCCATTCATCTATTGAAGGGCATCTAAGCTGGTTCCACAGTTTGGCTATTGTGAATTGTGCTTCTATAAACATTGATGTGGCCGTATCCCTGTAGTATGCTGCTTTTAAGTCCTCTGGGTTTTGAAAATAATTTGTTGTAACACTTAAAATTCAAAGGTTTCACTTGTGAATCTAATTTCGATGTACTTTTAAGTTTAAAAATAAACTATTTTTTAATCAAAGGAACACACACACACACACAAATAAGCACTTCTATGTGTATCATTTTAGAAGTTAAATAGTACTAGAAGGTTTATAATTAAAACAATCCCCCTGTCCCCACCTTCCCAACACCCAGCCTTTCCCTAAAGGTTAGCACCCTCAACTTTTCTAGATAGTGGATATGCTAGACCAGTGCTCTACCACTGAGCTACATCCCAGCCCCTTATACCATTATTTCTTGATTTGCCAACTTTAATCCTTGTCTCTTGACTTCCTGCCATGGCGAAAAACTACTCATTCTTTCTTTCCTATCCCAACTTCTCTTTTCTTCCCCCATGACCTGGTTATATATAAGTTTTTGTTAAACCAGGGGTCAATGTTACTTTAACTATATATCAATATTACTCACTGAGCCAAATAATACATTGTAAACTCTTTTCCTCTACATACTTTCATTTTTCTCCAAATTTTCTCCGAAGTTAGTAGTAGCCTCATGTAATCATTTGTTTGGTTTTTCATCTACCCATTGTTAATTTTTTCCCAATGTTCCATCATCTCTGCTATTTCCTTATTTTGCTGAAGTAGATCTTCCAAGTTTCTTTGTGAAATCCAACACTTTATCATTCATATCTATTTTCCAACCAAGCCAAAAACCTGCACAATGCAAGGACCCAAGTTCATGGGCTTTGTCTCAAAACACAATGGTCGGCCAACTGCTTTTTCATAATGAGGAGAGACCAAAGCTCTGGGGAGCCTCACATCCTTGTCCCAAGCTCAATTTTCTGAGAAACTGGGCACATACTTTCCATAGGGCTGGAGCAAAGAGGTGGCTGCCCTCATTGTAGGGAGCCCCACCTTCTGCTTTTCTTTTCTTGGCCTCCTTGCACCAGCCCATTTCCCTGGCCACAGGTTTGCCTGGCCTCTGCAGGCATCTACATCCCTGAAGAGGAGGACAGGATACAGATGACAACTCTAATCGTGATCTGCTGGCTTTCTGGCCTTGTGACTAAGCCTTTTTGTTTTTTTTTTTAATTCATTAATGTTTCTGTCTACCAATGAGAAATGACGTGCTAGTCTTTTTACTAACTGAATCCGTTTCCTGATTCTTCATTTCAAACGGAACTTGGGTGCCCAATATCTGAGGTGTGGTGATGATGATGGTTGTCACTGTATGGGGGCAGTGGCTGCTGGGCCCTGTGACTTCCGTTAGTTCTTCTCATGCCTTTTGGAAAAGGCTGAGCCCATACAGCTTTGAAATCTGATAAGATCTGTTTAGCTACAGATACTCTGGATTTTCTAAAGGTTTTTCTCTGCTTGGAATGTCTGGACTGCGGCCTGGGGCTGGGTGGGGCTCTGGTGACCTGGGTAGGCAGAGCATGAATAATCCTCCTACTTCTTCCAGGCTTCAGCCAAAACTTAGAGCGACTATTTCTGCTTTTGTGTTGCAGGTACCTTTTGTATCTGCAAATTAAAAGAGATATTTTTCATGGTCGACTGCTGTGCTCCTTTTCTGATGCTGCCTACCTGGGTGCCTGTATTGTTCAAGGTGAGTCTGGCCCCACTGTGCTCTCTCCCATCATTGCATAAAGCTGCAGAGCTTTGTCCCATGCCTCCCCTCTCCCCAAATTGTGCCCATCCTCTTATGTCTGTGTTTGGAGGTGTGGTGGGACTGCAAATGTAGCACAGTCCCTTGCTCAACTTCTGTCCGAAGCCAGTGGAATCTTGGTGGAAGGCTGGTCTGAGATGTTCACAGTAACCTCTGCAAAGACAAAGTGTCCTACAAAGTCCCTAAATAGGGTTCAGAGTGTCTTTTTCAAAGTTGCTGAACTGTGTAGTTATTTAAGAAATTCTCTAGAGGTATGGATATTCTGTGTTTTGAGTTCCAACTACCAAACATGAGGTCTAAGGGCATTTTGAGAGGGAGAAACTGTGTCTAGGAAGGTAATTTTCAAATAAGGAAGTCATCCCCAAAGGATTTATAAATACAAATATATATATTCTCATCATATATGTATATATATATTTCCCTGTGTGTGTTTGTATATATGTGTGTAAGTATATGTTCATGTGTGTATATGTACACATATATTTTCATGTGTACCTGACTGTGTGTACATAAATATTCCTATGCGTGCATGTATGTATTGTATACATGTATATTTTCTTGTGCATATTGTGTATATGTACATTTTAACATGTGTATATGTGTTCATGTATATTTCATGTATGTATATGTATGTGCATGTGTATTTCATGTGATGTGTCATGTACATGTATATTTTCCAATGTATATGCATGTGCATGTATATTGTGTCTAATTCCTCAGTTTTTCTAGCCATGTAACAAAATGAAGAGAAAACTAGTATCACTATCTCTTATACCTCAGTTTGAACCTTTTTTCCCATTTCCTGGTTATTTCACCATAGACAAATTGCTTAAGTGCTTCATGCTCCAGTGTCTTCATCTATTAAATGAATGGTCAACCTTCTCCCTGGCTGTGTGATTTCATGAGACCATTCTGCACCAGGTGGAGGGAAGTGCAGGAACCTCAGTGGTGGCTGCTGTTCTTTTTAGGGTTAAACCAGCTGCAGGGAGAGAGATCAGTGGGAAACAGTGAATGCAGAGACCTGGGTTGGCTTCTAGATGCTTCTACCTTGTAAGGACAGTGTTTGAGAGAAGGCCCTCTAGTTCCTGAGGCAGCACATTGCTAGGGATGTGCCCACACTTGAATGAAGTATGGGTTGGGTGTGCTGTTCCCTGGGGTTTGTTGGAAGGCAGCTGGCCACAGGGGCTATTTGGAGAGACCCTGATGATCCAGCCATTTGTAGCAGAATGCTTTTGGCATGACTATGAGGGGGGAAGGAAGGGAGGGAAACATAGAAGGGGGGGAGAGAGAGGGGGGAGGGAGGGAGAGAGAGAGAGAGAGAGAGAGAGAGATTAGTGCCTGAGTGTGTCAGTTTATGATGGATCTAGAAAGAATAACATAGGTGACAATCATCTACCTGTCACAAGGCCAGATTTCATTCAGTGCTTAAGAGAGACTCTGTCCTTCTCCTGGGGATCTCATTGTGGCCCACCTCTGTGCTCATGGGATGTCCTGTGCTGTGAAATTCTTCCTTTGACCCTATTCCCAGGTGTATCTGTTCTCTAAGTATTCTGAAATGAGTGTTGGGTGTTAGTCTGCAAAACCTGAAAGAACAATTTAGAGGAGGAGAAGTTTATTTTGGGCTCCTCCAAGTTCTTTTTTGTTTCAGAGGTCTCAGTCCATGGTCAGCAGACTCCATTGCTCTGGGCCTGAGGTGAGGGAGAACATCATGCTGGAAGGGTGTGGCAGAGGAAGGCTGTCAGCTCATGGCAGCCAGAGCGGTGACAGGGGCAGAGAGAAGTCAGGGACAAGATACAAGGTGTAGTCCCCAAGCACATGCCTCCAGCAACCTACTTCTTTCAGCCATGCCATGCCTGCTTATAGCTACCATTCAGTAGTACATTCTTTATTAATCCACTAATAAGGTTACAGCCTCCATGATCTAGTCACTGCTTAAAAGCTCCATCTCTGAACCTCGCTGTATTGGGGGTTATGCTTTCCAAACATATACTTTGGGGAGTGTGCTGTGTGTTGCTTTTTCCCTTCCCTTGGAGCATCCTAGTGCTGTGTAGCAAACATTGGAAGAAGTGTTAGATCCCTTGGATATTTTCCAGTTTAAAGTGCTCATAACTAGAGTGATTCTGTGGTGGGAAGTAGTCCCATGGGCTGTGAGGTGGAGAATGTGCTTGAGAAAGCCACTTCTTTTACCCCAGAGTGAAGGTCTGTTAAAACCTCACATTTGTATTCCTTCGTTGTGAAGATGGTGCACTTCTGGTTCAGGTGCACTGTCTCGGGGAAGGAAAAGGGAATCGATACTAATCCAAGCAATAGACTAGCATCGGAGGATTTCAGAATGTATTTAGGCATTAGTGAATTACTGTCAATTCTCCAAGGGCATGCTCAATGTAGATCTATAATGGGAAGCTCTCCATCCTGTTTTATATTTCAAATGAAGCCACAAAAGTTCCATCCAGATGAGCACGGCCCTATTTCATCTTCTATTGCTATTATCATTGACCACACACACAAACGTGGCTAGGAAAGTAGAGTTGGAAATGGACTGACAGACCTTGAAAGAACCTTTTGTCTCTAAAATGCAGTACAGCCCCTGGGTCATTTGTAGCAAGTTCAGTAAAAGCTGAGTTCTCTGGTGCTTAGACTGAATATTTAAGTAGCTCCGGAGGTCACTAACAAATGCAGATAAAGATGGGCTTTGTCAGAACCACTTATTCATGCAGAGTAATAAGGAAGGTAGAGTCACTGACTAGAAAGTGGGAGGTTATGTGATATTCTAATGCCTGTTTAAGGAGTGTGTGTTAAGCTTCAGGGTATTCTGAGTGTATAGAAAACAGTCAGTCTTCTAGAGTTTTGTTACCTGTAGTTTTGTTACCTGAATCCAAGGAACATAGCCAATGCATGCAAAATGGATGTCTTTTCATAATACAATTTGCAAAACAAACATACATAATCCTTGGAATCTATTTTTATTCTTTCTTGGGAACATTTTTTGTTTTCCTATTCATTCTACAAAAGAGCACCAAGTAAATATTGATCTTATCTCTTCTTCTTGCTGTGTGAGTCCCAGTGGATGTTTCGGCTCCTGCTAGTTACTCAGGACTCAGTGCAGCTACTCCTTCCTCTAAGTCTTTTTTGGTCCACTTAACATAAAGCAGCCTCCCTTCTGTCCATGGTTCTTTCCCATACCTCTATTTGGTTGTCCCATACCCCTGTTTGGTAAGCACACATACCTGAAGTTTTCTTGCTGAGTTGTTTTGGGGCTTATTGTGTTTCTTCCTATGTTAGTCAGTTTTCTGATACTATTAAAGAATGCTTGAGGTAATCAGCTTATAAAGAGAAGAGGTTTACCTTGGCTCATAGTTTTAGAGGCTACAATTCAAGGTCATTTGGCCTCATTGCTTTGGGCTTGTCACAGCACATCATGGTGGAAGCATGCGGCTGAGGAAACCCAGGAGCAAAAGAAAGTGATAGAAACTGATGTCCTACAGTCCCCTTTGAGAATACACCCCAATGATCTAAAGAACTCCTACTAGGTCCTATCTCTTAACATCTCCATTACCTCCCAGTACCACCAAGCAGATGATCATGTACTGAACCTGTGGGCCTATTGGGGCAGGGGGCATTCTAGATTCTCTATGTAGAATCTAATTCCATAGGAGCAAGACTTGGGATGCCTCTTTATTGCAGCTTTCCTGTGTCTTGCACACTGGAGATTCTCCATGAAATCTGTCGAATGAGCCAGGATACTACGCTCAATTGCTCTGACATGTGCTTTCCCTCTACACTTGGGAAAGATTGAGCAACTGCCTGTTGGGAAGGTATTTACTACCTCATTCATGTGTCCTCCAAACAATTATTGAATAGCTGCTGGGTGTCAGGCACTGCAGTACAGAGTACTTATAGGCAGGCAGGCAAGTAAGCAGACCATTGTGCCGATGTTCTGATGACTACATGGAGGGACACGTGGGTTGGTTCCTGCTATAGTGCCCTCAGGAGGGTTCTGGCTCAGCAAGGGGGTCAGGGAAGATTCCAGAAGGAGCTGACTCTGAAACTTTATTGTCCTGTATCTGGAGTTCTTTTGGAATGAGTCTTTTCCCAACTGGGGAAAATGCCATCCCACATTATCCTTACCATCACCAGATCTGACTCACCCCCCCTTTTTTTTTTTAATTTTTTATGTGGTGTTGAGGACCGAACTCAGCGCCTCGCATGTGCTAGACGAGCGCTGTACTGCTGAACCACAACCCCAGGCCTCTTACTCATCCTTTTCCTTCAGATTCTTTGGGTTCTTCTGGCAGTTAAATTTGCAAAGTGCTAGGGCCTGTTTTAAACCTCTGGCCATCCAGTGTGCTGTGTCTTCTGATACAACTTCACCCTTAATGTCATGTGGAGAAGAGAGAACTACAAGTGGCTCCCTCTTCTTGATATGAGTAGTGACAAGTCCTTATTCACTAAAAGACTGTGCTGAAGTCAAACTTAAAGACAAGCTTTAGGGGAAGAGGGAACAGCATCTGTGATAGGGAGGCAACCCTATGCTCTCCATGGCATTTATTCTCTAAGTTTTATGGCATTTTCCAGGCTACTTATTTGCAGAATGTAGTTCTACAAGTCTATTGTATCTCAAAAATTTTCCTGGAAATAGAAATGCACCCCATCAACAAGGCCCCTTCTCACCAAGCACTCTGCAAGCATTGAAAACAACTTAGTTTCACATTGGGTCCATTACCTCATTACCTATGGGAAATGGGAGCATTTGGTGTACCATTTCCTAAATTTTTAGGTCCACAGCCAACTCCACAGCTTAGGTGTACTTCTTTTGGAACTTATGTTGAGTTAATCATGAGTTCTTGGTCCACTCTCATCATTGGTCCCTTTGGGTTATTTATTGATTGATCCACTTAACCTTTTTCCACTATTCTCCATTTCCTTTTCTAAAGGTGACAACTGGGTTCACATATGTCTTTGCATATAACTTTGTAAAATGATTAATATTGCTCTGTGTGTCTATACTTTTAAATTTCATTAGTTAAATGGGGCTCTAGAACTCATTTGATTTCTTTCCTTTATGATTAGAATACTATTTTGGAGATCTCTCTGTGTTGCTAGGAACATGTCTTGTGGCTTCTAATCACCAGTGTGTCCTGTAGGGTGCATCTCCGGTGTTTTACTTATCAGTCCCACAAACAATGAACACCCAAGTTGCTTCCCACTTATGATGATCATGATTGATGTTGTGATAAAAACCCTTGAACATATCCTTTCTTGCACCCAGAGCTGTTCTAGGATATATGCCCAGAAGAGGGATTTCTGAGTCATAATATTTGGCTAAATACTCCCACCTTGCTCTCTAGAAGAATTGCATGTATTGATGAGAAGCCCCAGAAGTGCATGAATGTTTCTGTTTTCTCATGTTTCTGCCAACTTCCTAATTTCTTGGCAGTGGTATTTGTGTGACATCTTGTTTTGGTTTGCATAGCTCTTATTACTAATGAATTTGGGCATTTCTCCATACACTAGCCCTTTGCATGTCCCTGTCTGTGAATTGCCTGTTCATATCCTTTGACTGTTTCTCTGTTGGTCTTCCAGTCTATTTTCTCATTGATTTGCCCAGATTTGTTCTTTCTTCTAGAGACTAGCCCTTGTCGACTTCAGATTTTGCAAACATATTTTTTCAAATCGACACCTCTTGATTCATCAGTATGATGTCTTTTAGTGACCAGAAATAAATCAATTTTGATTTGATCAAATTGATCAATTCCACCACCCCCCCATGATCAATAGTATTTTGGATCTTATTTTTAAAATTCTTCCTCAGGTTGTATATATGCATCCTAGATTGTTTTAAGAAGTGTACAAGTTGAATTATATTAAGAAGCTTTTAAAGAGCTTTGTTTTCCTCTGGTTTTGTCCTTTTACTGTCATTAGCTGATTTGACATTGATAGAACAGTAGATAGATATTATGGAGTTGGTGTGATTTTTCAAATGTGCTGAAAGCATACAGATTTTTTTTCCACTTCAAAGTCCTGCTGTGATCACGTTGACAAACATACTATCTTTAGTTTACTTTCCTGGACTATATTCTTTATTTCTGTCTGAGATACTTATTTATTTTCCTTAGCAAGCTTGTGGAATCAGTAGAAAGTATTTCTATAGCCAGACATAGCCTCGATTTCTCTGGGCCATAGGCTATACACCCACTTCTATTAGATCCTCAGGACACTTGGAGATGGGCAGGCATTTCTTTTTCCCCTTAAAGATTCTCCAGAGATGCCTGCATTAGAATGCTGCAACAGCCTTAATCCCAAATGCTCTTTCACTACTCAGGTGGATGCTGTTGTTTGAAGAGCAATCCGTTTGTGTTTAAATGCACTCTCCTTCGATTTCTTCATGTTGTGTGTGTGTTTTTTTGTCATTGAATGAGTCACACACTTCACAAACCTCAGAGCTGGCAGCCCCAGCCAGGGGATTCTTGGTCTTGGAGACTATTAACTGTGAAGAGAATCTTGAGGAAGTTTCCAAGGATAGCTACTTCCTAGATATATCAGAGAGGCATTTAGTTTAAAAAAATTAAATTTTTAATGGACAAAATTTTGCATATTTACAGTGTACAAAATTCTGTTTTGAAATATGCATATATTATAGAATGGTTAAATTGAGCTACTATATGCATTATCTCACATATTTATAATTTTTGTGGTGAGGATAAGAACACTTAAAGTCTGCTCCTTTAGAAGTTTTCAAGTGTACTGGACATTGTTATTAACTGCTGTCACCTTGTTGTAGAGTAGACTTCTTGAACGTATTCCTCCTAACTGCAGTCTTGTACCCTCTGGCTACCTTCTGGGGAGTGGTGTTCTTGATGGTCACAGTGAGTGTGTTACCAACATTCAGTGTCTGAAGAGTTGAGTTGTCAAATGTCCTACAATTCCTTGGGAAATCTGAAACAATAAAACTGTTCAGTCCTCCAAATGCCAGCAGTGCCCCCATTAAGAAATAATCCTTTAAATTGCTTCAGTTTACAGATGAAGAAAACAAGACCCAGAGTAGTGTGATAAGTGCCAAAGCTCATAGAGCTAGACTGAAACCTGAACACAAGTCTCTAGATACCCAGGCTGTGGGCTTTCCATGGGTACAAATAAGGATTGCATGAGTTTATTCCAGGATCTTCTTTTGGATGAATGAGACATTCCACATGCACCCCAACCATGCTGGGTTTTGTTTGTTTGTTTGTTTGTTTGTTTTGGTGTCAATGGACCTTTATTTTATTTATTTATATGAGGTTCTGAAATCGAACCCAGTGCCTCACACGTGCTAGGCAAGTGCTCTGAGCTATAACCACTGAGCGACAACCCCAGCCCCCATGCTGTTGTTTCTAATCTTTCTCTTTTTCTTCACCTTTACTGGTTACAGCTGAGCTTGGTGATTATGATCCTGATGAGCATCCTGAGAATTACATCAGTGAGTTTGAGATCTTCCCCAAGCAGGCACAGAAGCTCGAAAGAAAAATCATGGAAATTCATAAAAACGAACTCAGGTAATGTGGGTAGACATTTATGAAAGAGAGATGAGAAGGTATTCTTACTGCAGGAACTGAGGAACTCACGTGAAGCAAGAATATTTGTAACACATAGGTAGACTGTTTCAGGTAGCAGAGCAATTTATCTGAGCACTGTCAAGGACACCCAGATATCCTCTGTCAATAACAATCTCAATAGTGTGGGGAATGGTCTAGGAATGGTCAACAGTTACAGAGCTACACGTTTTCTCCTACTTAAGGGTTTTTAACCACTCTTAAATAAATCATCCTTGCCAATTTTGAATTTGGTGTTGCTTCTTTTCCTCCTGTGGATGGAAGCATTGACTTCAAGTAGAGCAGAATCCATTGGCAAAGTTCTGTTTTTCACGCTGCTTCCAAGATGATAGCATTTAGTGCCTGCTCCTCTTTTCCTTGTCTGAGATGTTTCAGGATGGTAAGTACAGAGTCATCGTGGTAGGAGAACCAAATTGCATAGTACTCACTATGTACCAAGCAGTGTTCTAGGCATCATGTATATATTGACTTCATTTACTTTTCACAGTAACCTAGGAGATAGGTTCTATGGTTGTTCCCATATTATAGATGAGGGAGCTGAGGCACAGAGATTGAGTGACTGAGCATCTTACACATGACTAGTGTCAGAGCTGGGATTTAAATTCAAGCATCCTGGGTGCAGAGTCTGTGCTCTTAAGGCTATGTGGAATAAAATGAAGCATGCTTAGGAATCATCACCCACTTGGAATTCAGATAATTCAGATATTCTAGTCTGCATTAGGGTTTAGATCCTGTGCAAATCACAGAAGAAATCCTTTTGATAATAATAGTAAGCACAGGCAATGATATGACAAATATTGATGAAGAATTGCAAGATCTGAGGTGCTTTCATCTTCTGGGTTTCTGGTAATTATGAAGAAAATAGTGTCACTGGTTGATGAATTCTGGAACAAAACTGTCCCATTATGAATGAGTGCTAGAGCTTCCTATTTTATGCAGACACTCCCCCCTTCTGGTGAAGTGTGGGCATTCAAAGTGGCTGCATATTTTATCTTGGAAAGGGTATCCTTCATTCCTAGAAGTAAAAATAATTAGACCTCAAAACATACTTGTTTTAGAAAGTAGCCTACCATTTCCATGGGTTAGAGTATTGCTTCCTAATGAAAAGTTTTGTGAGAAAATATATGAAATCCTTACTCTTCTTTTTACATTTTAGAGACTAGGGTGCTAGAGATAACAATAAAGTTCCAATATTTTGGGTGAGGGGTCTATGTCATAGGAGCATCCTTCCTAGAGACCATAGAGTAAGGGCTCTTGGATGAAGAAATTGCATCCATTGTGTGGATTGGTAGGAAAGGTCTTCTATAACCAGAATTTTCAGGGTCTTAAATGTTTAGAACACATTATAATAAACATTACTTGAGTGCTTACTGAATGCCAGAACACCATGCAAAGAGCTTTATATGCCTTATTCCATTAGTACTCCCAAACACCATGAGGTGGGCACCATTAGTGTTCTCAGTGAGGGATGAGGAAAGTACAGCCTGGAGTGGTCGAAGGACTTCCCTTGATAGTTATTAGCAGACTCAGGACTTGCATCTTGACGCCAACATCCACACTTTTACCCCTTTGCTGATCAGTCCTGAGAGGCAGGTAGCTGGGCAGATGTTTCACGGTGTCACCATAGCAATGGCCTGTAAGGATGGACACCAGGTGGGAGAGGAGGAGGGGTAAGTAATGTCTACCATTCAGAGAGCCAAGGACCTGAAAAAGAATAGAAGGAACGAAAATTGAAAAAAAAAAATCTTGAGAGACATGGCAGTAAGATTTGGTGACCAAACTGATTTTATGAGGAAGTAGGTAAACTGAAAGATTCCAGATTATTTTTAACAATCAGAAAGCTGTGCATTGGACCTGTACCAGCTCCCAGATTTGTTGAGATCTCTGAAAGTGGTCATTGGGATCTAGGGATCAGTCAGCCACTGCTTATAAATCTCAGAAGTAATTTCCATGGCTTGATCAGAACTGCAGCTCTGTGTATCAACCAGGAAGCCCCGGAAAGGGGTCAGAATCACAAGTCCAAGGGATGCAACTGCCAGGCATCATGTGACATTGTAAGGGCAATTCCAGGGCATATTTTCCTGTATATATATATTTTATCTTTCCCAAGTAGACACACACTTGGTTCTGCCTCAGTACTGCAGAGAGAGATTTTAGGTTGTGAGAGGAGGACAAGAAGAGTAGAAGAAGGTGGTAGTGCAGAGGAAGAGGAATTTTCTGCAGTTGGATGGAAAGCCTGCTGTGGAGGTCGAGGCTGCTCTGGAGCGTTGGTGGACATAGGTGGAGAATGTGTTGATGTTGTGTGAGGAACAGGGTCTTCAGTTGGGTTACTCCGCACACTTCCACTGTGAGGAGGGGGTCACAGAAGAAGGAGACCCGTGCTAGGCTGCACCCGGGCATGTATCCTACTCTCCAAGTTGACCACTGTACACGTGACCCTCCTCACAGCAAAGGGATGATGCACAGCCATTGACCTGTTGTTACAAAGACTTCCTGAGAAGACACCAGCTGGCCTTTGTTGGGGTAGCAGGGCCCCAATACATAACTTGGCTTCTGAACCAGTTGAGAAAGAAAACAAGATAGATAGTATAGAGTTGCTTAAATATTAGCAGAAATGATGATGATGATTTACAGAGAGAGAAAAATTTTCACCTTAGGGAGGCAGTTTCAAAATCCTTTCCCAGATATTTAATTGAGTGGAATCATTCAGATTCTATGCTCACTGAGGAAGGGACAAAAGCGTCTCTACTGGGGGGGGGTACATTTCTCATGGAGGGAAAAGGACTTTTCTCCCCCAGGGAGGCTACACACTACTTGAAGGTGAACCCTAAATGGCCTGGCAGACAGGCAGGAATAAGAGAGTTCTTTGGGGGAAGAAAGTGAGAGATTCTGCAGTTTTGAGGTACTGCAAAACAGAATGGAAAACTGAGATTTGGGTAATGGTTTCCTTGGATGAAGTGCTTAGACTGCTTGGATATTTAAGAGATTGGTGTGTGAAGATTAAGATTCATGCCTGGATCCACTATCCTTCCTTAAATGCCATATGGCTTATGCTTTATCTATGATTGCATCGGAAGGCAGGATAGAGAGAATCCATGGTTTTGAAAATGTGATAGTACTTTGTAGTTGTTGGTCACCTCTGAATCTGTCAAGGTCAGCTAGATTTTGCTGAGGACAACCTCCAAAGCTCAGTGGCTTACTGTAAGAAAGACTTCCTTGCTCTGTTTTGTCCACCTGAGGTCAGCTGGGGGACTCTGCTTGTCATTGTCACTCAGGGCAGCCATCAGCTTTATTTTGCCAGCTGTTGAGCCAAGGGAAAGAGAGCCTTGGAAAGTCTTGCTTAACTTGGAAGTGATGCATGTCACTTCTGCTTAAAATTCACTGGTCAGAAGCTGTCCCAAGGTCCTGCCTAATAGCAAGGAAATGCAATTCTACCCAGTGTCTAGAAGGTGAAATGAGCTAGAACAGCTGCTAAACAACCCTTAATGACCTTCACAATGTCACTGACTGATAGAGTTGGTTTTTTGTTTTTTGTCCCCACCCCCCTTTGTTTTCTTTCTTTCTTTTTTTTTTTTTTAAATAGGCTTTACTTTTTGGAGAAGTTTAGGTTCACAGCAAAATTGAGGGGGATGTACAAGGATTTCCCATCTGCCTTCTTCCCTCTGACATGTATGGCCTCGCAGTTATTAACATTTCTCTTTGGAGTGCTATATTTATTATAAATGATGTGCACATGGATACATTTTAATTATCCACGGTCTATAGTTTACATTGGAGCTCACTCTTGGTGTATATTCTGTGAGTTGGGGCAAATGTATAGTAACATGTATTCACTATTAAAGTATCATACAGAATTGTTTAACTGTCATAAAAATCATTTATCACTATCACCTAATCCTTAGAAACCATGGATCATTTTGTGTTTTTGTAGTTTTGATCTTTCCAGAATATCATAGTTGGAATTATACAGCATGTAGTTTTTTCAGATTAGCTTCTTTCACTTAGTAATATGTATTTATACTTCTTCCATGTATTTTCCTGACTCAATAGCTCATTTCTTTTTGGCATTAAGTAGTAATCAATTGTCTGATGTACCACAGTTCATTTATCCATTCACCTACTGAAGGAAAACTTGGTTGCTTCCAAGTTTGAGCAATGTTACTGTGTGTGGATTTTCATGTGGACATAAATTTTCAACTTATTTGGGTAAATGCCAAAGAGCCTGATTGCTAAATTCTATAGGTTTAGCTTTTCAAGAACTATCAAACTATTTTCCAAGGTCTCTGTACCATTTTGTATTCTCACTATTTATGAATGTGAGTTCCTGTTGCTCTATATCCCTGCCAGTTTTTGGTGCTGTTTTTGTTCTGATTTTGGCCATTGGAATCACTAAATAGCTAATAGAGCCTTATTTAAAAAGACTTCCCAGAGGCATCTTTGGGCCTCTTGTGAATGAGAGGATATGGAGATGTGCCATTCACATTATTGAGCAGATGTCAATGCTAAAATGGATTGACTCTGAATAATTCTTCGAGATAAGTTGTAGTTAAATATTTTTTACTTCATGAGCCACGTGGTCTCTGTTACCGCTACTTACCTCAGCTTTTGTAGAGAAAAAGCAGACATAGATGATTTTAAACAAATGGGCCATGATTGAATAAAACTTTATTGGTAAAACAGGCAGTGGGCCAGATTTACCCCACTGTTCCTAGTTTTCTGTCTCCTGGTCTGAACATGGCAGAGTAGGTCTAGATTCAATTTCTGCTTCACTCTCCTGCCTCCTGATGATTTTAAGACAACAAGAGCTGTATTTAAACAAAATGTGCATGAAAAAGAATCTCCTTTAACTTCAGACTTCATTGAGTTTCGGGTGTAGAGATGAGGTCCTAGAACTGGGACTGATTTAAGAACAAGTTATTCCTCCTTCTAGAGCCCTCTAGTGG